TCCACTTGCACCTGGCTAGATGACCTTGGGCAAGCTGTAGTTCTGATAAGAGCTGTTCTTGAAAAAAGCAGTCTCTGTCAAGAGCTCTCTCAGCCCCACCTACCTCACAGGGTGTCTGTTGTGGGGAGGGGAAGGGAAAGGAGATTGTAAGCCACTCTGAGACACCTTTGGGTAGTGAAGGGCGGGGTATAAATCCAATCTCTTCTTCTTCTTCTTCTTCTTCTTCTACCTCACAGGGTGTCTGTTGTGGGGAGGGGAAGGGAAAGGAGTTTGTCAGCCACTCTGAGACACCTTTGGGTAGTGAAGGGCGGGGCTGTTCTCCCAGATTAGAGTCCCCATTTAACCACTACACCAAACTGGTGTACTTTTGCTGGAACTGATCGGCAGGATCCTACGCAACATGCCCGTTTCTGAAAGAAATACATTTGTGCACAACTAAAGGTAGACCCGCAATTTGGGAATGTTTAGTCTGTAGAAGAGGAGGTTGAGAGGGGAGATGATTGCTCTCTTCACGTATCTGAAGGGCTGTCACTCAGAGGAGGGCAGGGGGCTGTTCCTCTTGGCAGCAGAAGAGAGGACTCGCAGTCATGGGTCTAAATTACAGGCGGGGAGGTACTGGCTGGATCTCGGGAAAAACATTTTGTACAGAGTTGTGCAACAGGGGAATCAGCTGCCTCAGGAGGTGGTGCAGTTCCCCCACTGGCAGCTCTGACAGAACTGTGGCTTGCCCAAGGTCATCCAGCAGGTGCAAGTGGAGGAGTGGGGAATCCAACCCGGTTCTCCCAGATTAGAGTCCGCACACTTAACCACAACACCAAACTGGCTGGGGCGGGAGGAAAGCAGCGTGAAGTCAACTGTGTAAGTGGGTCCCCAAACGTACAGCCAGTTTGAGTGCAGGTCCTTCTTCAGAATGTTTTGAGAGCTCTACTGGCCTAAGTTAAGACATCCTAAGAGCGTAGGCCTCCTCTCCATCAGGCCTTCATGGCACTCAGTAGCCTAATTTTAGATCCAGTGGCCTCAGGACATCCCCCTTGGCCAAGGTTCTCATTCCTCATCTGAGCAGAAAGCTGGGGGGGGGGGGGGGGGTGTTGGCTGTTGTTCTGGGAGATGTCCAGGCCCAGGGGGAGCCTCAACCCAACCTGTGTTCAAAACGTTTCTCTTTCTCTTTTGCAGTGAGATGCTTTTGGGTCCTGTCCCGGTCAACTTCACTTTCCTGCCAAAACACAAGGCAAATTCTTACAAGTAGGCCCTCGGGTGAGGACGAGGAGACAGGGCCTTGTCTCTGCCCGGGAGGCCAGCGAATGCGCCACTGCTCTCCCTGCTTTAAATTAAAAAAGAAAAATAAAATTCTATTTTTAATTTGGCTGCTTTCTGAGCGTCAAGGTTGACTTATCTCCCGCACCTCTTGAGCCTTTGGAGCATCAGACGGCCGCCAGCCCTTCTGTACCAACACGCTGCCATGGTTGAGGTTTTGGGAGCTCCTCATTGGCCGTGGGGCTTTAACGCTGGCCGGTTGGGCTGTGCCTTTCCCCTGAGCTCTTACTGGAGGATCAAGACAGGTCAGTGGTGGTCAAGGGCCCTGCAGTTCAGATCCAGAGATCTCAATGCAGGCACGCCGACTGACTGGGCCTCCTTGGCAGCTCTCTTGCACCTTCCTCACGGCATCCGCTGAGACCAAAGAAAAATGAAGGCGCCGGCCCCATTTTCACACACCTGCCCCAAATCCCCGTGTTTTCTGGAGAGTGGTGACTTAGGCTCGCCGCCACCTCCTACTCTCTGCTGGATTCCCCTTCCACATTTTCTGTCATTTCAATTAAAAGAGTCTCAGGCAACAGAGTTGGGAAAGGGGTCCCCCTCTGACCCAAGAGACCCTTGGAGAGTCACTGCCAAGCTTGGCTTGGCTCTGTTACGGAGATCAGGGTTCTGTCCCTTGCTGGGTGGAGCTTTTAACCAGCTACAGGGTAAATGCCCGGGGCTCTACACAGTGAGCCCAGGCAAGAGGACTTTGACTCGCCCTTTTGTAGGTGCATACTCCTAGGTTTATGGGCCATACTGGTTGTCCTTAATGAGCAAATGGTAGAACTGCAGAATACATTTGCTGTTTTATCTGTGTTTTTATTTGTCGTGAGCCACCCTGAGCCCTGCAAGCAGGGAAGGGCGGGATAATAATAATCTCATAAATTAAAAAAAAAATAGGCCTGATATCACACAAGGGTAATACGGGTGGGTACACGGATTCCGCACAAATTGTGGCCAGTGTTCCCTCTGAGTTGCTGTGAGCTAGCTCAGTTTTTTAGCCTCCAGCTCACCCATTTTTGTCTTAGCTCAGGAAGGAGGGCTTCAGAGCAAACTGATTTATGCAGTAGCCAAACTGCTCGCTCACAAAGTAGAATTTTTGCTCACAAGACTCCACAGCTTAGAGGGAACACTGATTATGACTGCCAAATGCTAATCAATGGAAAAGTTTGGGCAGCTGAGCAAGTACACCAAGTTGTCCAGCTGACCACTGTAGGGATAGGAGCAGGTCTCCATCATCCAGTCCCCCCTTTTGGAACCTGGGGTGCATCTGGAAACAGCTTCAAGGCATATGGCGGGGGGTGGGGTTAGAACCAATATTCCCTCTAAACCGAGTTAGTGTGAGCTAGCTCACAATTTTTTAGCCTCCGGCTCACACATTTTTGTCTCCGCTCAGGAAGGAGGACTCCGGAGCAAACTATGCAGGAGCCCAATCGCTCGCTCACAACTTGAATGCCAGGAGCTCACAAAGCGGGATTTTTGCTCACAAGACTCTGCAGCTTAGAGGGAGCGTTGGTTAGAACTTTGCTTTTGCGGTTGACATGCAGCTTCAAAACGGCAGCGTAGCCAAGGATGAACTGTTCTGTAACCTAAAACTGAAGCAGAATTCGGGGCAGGGGGGAGTGAGAGAAGGCCTTTTGGAGATGTGTTAAGAAGGGGCACATCCAGGGACAAGATTCAAACACCTCACTTTGCAGCGCAGGTCACCTGGGTTAAGCATTCAACATTACACAGAACAAGGGAGATTGGATACCTTTATTTCAGGGAGGGGGGCCCCGCCTCCCCATCCCCCCTCCCCCACCCTCAGGTAGTTACCAGTTAATACAGTCAAAAAATGGGTGCGATTAAAAAATAAATCCAGACTCTACTGCGGGAGACAAGTTGAAAATCTTCTTTTAACAAAACACCACAGTCATTGTAGGAAAAGCCTCCACAGAGGAGAAATGTTTGCTCCAACGGGCTGGACGGCGTTCCCCTCCCCTCCAAGAGAGCTCCCCCTTTCGCCATGTCCACGAGATTACAAAAGAGGACGTCATTCAGTACCTGTCCTTTGTGCAGTTCGAGGGGTTGGATCCTGCAGATGCATAAGGGGCAGCTTTTTACGCCAGAGGAAAGGTGCCACGAGGCGCTGCGGGATCGGAACCCGCTATGGCTGTTAAGTTTACAAAAAGGCAAGAGGCGGAAAGTCGCACCAACAGGTCACTGGGTTGCGAAGTGCAGCTTAAGCACGTCCTCGGTGCAGCTTTGGGCCTTGCCTTCTCTTTGCAAGGCACTCGAGGTAACACATGCCTGGTCTGGGAGGTGCAAACGGCCACCCGTTGGGAGAAGCGTTGGGGCCCACTCTGGTCTCCATCCCCATTCCTCCGGACAGCCGACCGTTGGGCTTGTCGCCTCGAATGCTGTTCTCCCCCCCCACCGAAAAGGACCCTGTCCTGTTTCAAGAGCCTGGGGGCAGGCTGCACCCCCCCCCCCCCAAGGGAGAAGAAAACCAGCAGATTTCTCTCTGCCCCGTGGGTGCTGAAGCGTTTGCCTGCTGTAAACTGACGTATGATGATTCTTCCCCCCCCACACACACACACTAATGTCATTCTCTCTTTGTATCACTACACCCAATGCCTTCCCAGCTGCACGGGTGGGTGGGGAGAGAACATACCAAGTAACAACCGTAGGATACACAGAAGGGGGGGGGCAGACTGAGACGGGGGTCACCCCTCCCAGCGGAAGCCCCACGTGGTTCTTTAAAATTGCTACTTCTGCCTGAATTCCACTGAGGAATCCCGGCCGACTCAGGTCTGCTCGCATAAAAGCACGCAGCAACGTTCCTTTCAGAACCGCAAGATTTTTCTAAAGCTCGGGGGTGATACCAGCGGGGTGAGCCATTTCCTTAAAGGATGCCAAACAGGTCGTCGTGGGGAGGACATCCTTGCGGTGTGTGTGGGGGATCGGGGGGGTGCTGTTGCAGAAGCAACCTTACTCTTGTGGCGTGATGGAATCCCTTTAATGATTCAAGCACAGTAAAACAAGATCTACAGTATGTCCGTTCCAAAGGGTTGGGGGAAGGAGGAGAAAAAACACTCAATTACCAAATTTTAGACTAAACAGCAACATAATATATTTTCATATATATTTATATATATATATAAAGTCAGGTCAACATTGTCTCGTCCTCTTTCTTGTCCTTCTTCCCGTCCCCGTCGCCCGCCATCTCCTCGTCCGTGTCCAGTCGCCTTTTCCGGCTGTGCACGCCGGGCCTGCTTTTGGGCGACGGCAAGGGCTCCATGCCGAGCACTTTGTGGATCTGACGGAAAGCCAGCATCCTCAGGGCATGCTGCGGGAGGAGAGGAAGATGGCCGGTTAGGAATTTAAAGGACCATCTCTGCTAAAATCATTTTTTCTTTTCGGGGGGGGGGGGGGGGGGGGAACAGCTACCGCAAATAGATTTTGG